GTACCATTATCAAATGTTAAGAAAATGGAAATATGGCTGAAGTTGAAGAGGAATATTTTGTTATAAAGGACCCTGAATAACACAATGGATGGGATCATCAATGATGGTTTAGCAGAAGATGCCAAATGTGTCTTTTTTGTTTTGTTTTATAATAACCTATAATAAAAGTTAAGGGCACAGTATTAATTTATAATACAAAGTAAAGAAACTAAACTAATATAATTCAAACCTATTTCTTTCTGTTGACTCAATCACATACAAGGATGGGGCTTAATTTATTATTTCCATTATGTTTTCAGCAAGAATAAATAGCAGGCAATTTAGAATTAAACTCATGCACTCCATATACTATGGAAATAAAACCTGGTATGGCCCTTTGGAAAACAATTTGGCAATATGTACTGAGGGTCTTAATAATGCTTCTCTCTTTAACTAGCAATTCCAGTTCTGCGAATGTATCTTAAGAAAAATAAATATTTTAAAAGTTCTATACTTAAATATATTAAGTAAATCATGGTTCATAAATGAAGAAAACTATGTAGTCATTTGAAATAATGTTTATGTCGCTATAACATTAAACAGCAAACACATGATAGAATTATGCATATGCAATGATCATAACAATGTAAAAGCATGGAAGAAATAAAAATATCAAATGATTAGATCAGTTCTCGTCTCTCACCTATTGCTGTATTTTTATATTTTTATATAAAAATATATTTAGCTACCAACCTGGCAGACAACAGACCAGGCATTCTGTTACAAAACTTAAGAGCTGTACTTAAACTGCCTCACCCAGGTGAAAGGGCATCTCACTTCCCCCAGAAGGGAACTCACTGTTGCCAGTGGGCCAGACCCACCTTTTTCTAAACAGAGGAGCTCTGGAGGTGACTGAACACATGTGGCCATCTCAGTTCAGCTGCAGATGCCTTGAGGGCAAGAGACAGATTCTCCCACTTCTTCAATATGGTCCCCAGTGCTTGACAGCAATTTGTCACCTTCCAGGAGAGAGCTGTTGGTTTGATTGGTTAGATCTGACAATCCGTCCAGCTGGTTCACTAAGGACATCGTAGGTATTCAATCCACAGTTACTGAGTGACTGAGTGATGAACCGATATCAGCTCACCTTTTGACTGGGAAATACCGAAAGAATGAAAACCCTCCTGCATATGCTTCCAGATCCAGGTCCCATCTGACCACGCTGCCCTTCCTGGACCCCACCCCACACTCCCCTATGGCCTTTACAGACCACGACTGTACACTTGAGCCATTCTCCCAGCCGTGATGCAATTTGTTTACTCATCTGACTTCTCACTTGACTCAGATCCTTAGGACAAGGTTTTGCATTTTGCTCGATTTTTTAAAAATATATTTTTAATTGATTTTAGAGAGGAAGGGAGAGGGAAAAGGAGAGGAAACCATCAATGATGAGAGAATCATTGACTAGCTGCCTCCTGTATGACCCACACCAGGGATGGAGCCCACAACCTGGGCATGTGCCCTGACCAGGAATCGAACTGTGACCTACTGGTTCATAGATCGACACTCAACCACTGAGCCGCATAGGCCAGGCTTTTCATCATTTTTTTTATCAGCCTCTCAGGTTATTAGCACAGAGTCTGGGACACAATTCATTCAACATGACACATAACATGGGGTTTAGCAAATGTTTGCAAATGAAGGCACGGATAAATGCAAGACAAGGATATCTCAGGTACCAAGGAGCCATCCAGTCCTGGGCCAGGTGGACCATGAGGCATGGAGGACCATGGGAGAACGAATATAGCTCACCACATTTCCTTGAACTCCATCATAACAGGTTTCTCTTCCCTGTGGATCATAAACGCCACGAGGCCAGGGGCTATGTCCGTCTTATTCACCCCAAACTCCAGCAACACCTGCAATGCCATGGAAGGGACTCTAGGGATGGCAAGGGGACCCCAACTTTCAGCTTTGATTTCCTCCAACTGTTATTACCCACTAAACAGAACAGCACATTATGGGAAGTGTTGCACAGCCTGCCCCTTCACTGTCCTTCCTCTTGTATTTTGTTGAGAACTAAGAACTGTTGGAAATGGGGTGGAGCTCTCTCTCTCCACAGTGGAAGATTACCTGGAGCTGTAAGCAGGAACCACACAGGTCCCCCACAAACAGAGCCTCAAAGGAGAGTGCTAATCCCCCAGAGCAGGTGGCTGAGCAACAGGCAGCATAAACAATTCACCCCAGTAATCTCCTCGGAATGGAATTGTGCAGCATGTCTTTAAACCTTCTTATACAAACAACCTCCTTTAAGAGACAGGGACAGAAAAGCGATTTCCTAAAGTTTTGAGACAAAATCAGTTATGCAACATTGAGCTCTGTCCTTGAATTTTGCAAAAAGATGTAATAGGCTCAGCTCTACCTCAGTGCGGTCTCAGTTATAAATGAGTGTAGCCCTAGCTGGCTTGGCTCAGTGGATAGAGCGTCAGCCTGCGGACTGAAGGGTCCCAGGTTCGATTCCAGCCAAGGGCACATGTCTGGGTTGCAGGCTCAATTCCCAGTAGGGGGTGCGCAGGAAGCAGCCAATCAGTGATTATCATCATTAATGTTTCTATCTCTCTATCCCTCTCCCATCCTCTCTGAAATCAATAAAAAATATACATAAAACAATGAGTTTATTGTCACTCTCTGGAGCTCTGGGCCTCTCCCAGGGCCAGACGTCCTTCTTCACTTGGGCGCTCACTGGCGTGGCTCTCGCTGGAATATCCTTTGTGCGGCAGAGGCTTTAAGGCTCCTGAATTGGACATTCTACACCTTAGTACCTAGGACTCATCATGCATATCCCAGGGCCACTCCGGAGACTCCGGCTCCGTTGGCTTAGGTGGCAGTCTGGAATCTGCACATCTGCACGCTCACAAACTCCCCAGGTCATTCTGATGCTGAGGACCCCAGGCCTATGCTTTGAAAAATCGCTATTTTAGTCCCAGGACTAAAACTCTTCTCCGGGTTTCCCCAGGCCACTGGTTGAGCTGTCCTCTTCCCCATGACTCCATCCACCCACTGGACATACCTCTCCTTAGGCACAAGTCACATTAGTGTCACGGAACTGTGGCCTTGTCTCTATTTCTCCAGCACGTCACACAGTGCATGGCCTGTAGGGGGTATTCAGGAAATGTCTGTTGAATCAATGAGTAAATAAGTCAATGAGTGAGTGAGCAAGTGAATGAATATAACATCAGCACCGAGTAAGTACAGCCTTTTGGGGTTCCTCCCAAATTCTTCCAACTCTAACTTGAGGAAACCGTGACTCGCTATTTGAGACCATTTTTCATTCTGTGTCCTTGTGGCAATCTCTCAGAGACACTAAAGTCAGCACCAGTGGTGGAAAGCAGTTCCACACATACAGCCTAAGGGAGCATGTCTGGTTCTCCACTAAAGCCCAAAGATGGGTGGATCGAAGCCGTCCATCCACAGGCACTGTTGCCGTGGCTCCCAGGCCAGAGAAATGGCACCAGACCTTCTCTTCCTGCAGGAAAGCCCTAGGTCAGATTTGGGGAAGGAGTGTGTGTGGGGGGGGGGGGGGAAGAGGGGGGTATAGTTTGCCCTTCTCCACCTCTACTGCTGAGAAAAGCTTTGGGCTAGAAATCCAGGTTGGGATGTTAATGGTGAGTTTTGAATCAAAACACAATAAGCTCCTCATTCCTTTCCCATTCACATCTTCCATTCTTAAAGCTGAACATAAAAGGCCCTGCCTGTCTTGCGTCCTGCCAGACTGCCCCAGGCTAAATCAAAACCTTCAGCTGCTGCCATTCACCTGTGTCCTGTGCTCTGTGCTGCAAGCAGGTGACAGTGATCAGGCTGGGTGTTGAGGACAGTGTGATGTAAGTGGGGCTGGTGATGAAAGAGTTGCTGACAGACAGTGCAAGCAGACACCATGGGAACAGCTTGGCTTATGAGGTAATTTGGTCCAACACGTAGGCCCTTCTGTTTTCTTTGCCTTGACATTCGATGCCCCAACAGTTATTCAGTAACCAGAAATGAGGTGGGTCCTATGAAATTCCTGAATCTCCTTGGGGATGGAAGGGGGCTGTATTTCTGTGATCAAGGGCACGGGAGGAGAAGCCAGAACTGGAAACCTACCCCAGGACAGGTGGATGAAACAAAACTCGGGGAAGATACTCAGAAGCAAGGGGCACCGTTTCTGAGAAGGACAATGACTCTGCATAACGTTTAACTCAGACAAGCATGCCCCGCTCTTCGGGGGAAGTGAAACGCGCTCCCAGACTGATGCATCACTCCAATCTCTGCCACCATCGTCACATGGTCAACTTCTTCCTCTGTGTCTCTTGTTTTAAGGACACCAGTCCGATTGGATTATAAAACCACCCCACTCTAGTGTGACCTCATCTTAACCAAGTACATCTGCAACCACCTTCTTTCTAAATAAGGTCACATTATGAGGTACAGGAGGTTAGGATTTCAACATATATTTTGGGGACCACAATTCAACCCATAAAAGGTAACAACTCCCAACAGCTGTAATCAGCCCAGCTCATAAAAGGAAATCCCAGAGCCCACACAGTCTACCTAGCTCCACTCAGTCCTGGGAAGGCCCTTAGCTAGGGAGACATCTGTGATTCCCCCCAAAGATGGAAATGAGACATTCATTCATCAATTCTTTCAGCAAATATTTAGTAAGCACTTATTCAGTGTCCTACACACACTGGCTATGGGTGAGAGAAATAAGACAAGGTCCCAGATGTTAATGAAGAATATTCGAAGAAAAACTGTTTAGTTTTGTAAATCTATGTTCAGCTGTCTCCAGCCTATACCACTTAAGTATGAGCAGTTTGAGAGCCGGGTAACCTGGCCTAGGGGGCCTTTGAAACAGGTCCCACATATTCATAATTATTTGTGGAACTGGGCTGCAAGGAGCCTTTGGGAAAAGAAAAACAAGCATTCAAGTGGCTAAAGCACAATGTACTACAGGTTAGAGGAGAAAAAAATTCAAAAGCCAGGGAGGCACAGGGAATACTCTTGAGGTTTTAGAGCTGGAGAGAATTTTTGAGAGCATCTAGTTCAGAGGTTCTCAACCTTGGCTGCACATTAGAATCACCTGGGAATCTTTTCAAAGAAACAGATTTTCTGGAGGATAAGGCCCAGAAATCAGGATTTTTAAAAGATCCCAGGTGATTCTAATGTGCAGCCGAGGTTGAGAACCACTGATCTAGTTGGTGGTTTTCAAACTTAAACACAAAAACCAATGGGACTGTTTTTAAAAAACAAAATGGTATGAGGCTATGCGATGTGTGAACAGGCAAAAGCCAAATGATTCTGGTAGAAGGGTGAGAGGGTTTGCAAGTGCCCCTCCCACTCAGCACCCCAGGCTCTGCTCGCACTCCCTGGGAGGAAACTCCTTCCAGGCACTGGTTGGAAACCGTGAGACTACTAATGGGGACACTAAGGCCCAGAGAGGAGGCAATGAGTGTGGTCCTCACATACACTGTGAGTCCACAGCAGAGGCAGGACTAGAACTCGGATCCTCCCCTGACTTCCAGTCCAGAGCTTTCGACACTACCTCATATTCTCGGGGTAAAGCGACAGGAAGATGGGTTTCCACCTCCTGGTCTTTCTCATCCAGACTCTCCTTTTCTGCAGGCTCCTTCTCGTCCCCACACTGCTTTCCTGGCAGGGCCTATCCAGTGCTGTGATCCTCTGTCCCTGGAGGCAGGGGAAGGGACTCAGTGGCTTTCCGGTTCCTTCCAGCCAGTGGAATTTGACTTCTTTGCTCTACAACCCTGGTGAATCCTTCAAAACTCCCCGGGACTTGCCCCACTCTCTCCTCAGTGGAGGAGAAAAATCAAGGTTCATGAGACACAAATTGGAAGTGATTTCTTCACAAGTTTGTTCTAAAACCAGCCTTTTCTGATCCAGATGTTTGACAGAGGTAGAATAAGTTGGGGAGATGCATAGACTTCCACAAAATATTTCCACCTCAATTTGGGACAGGTTAAGAGTCTATACCCAAAGAACAGCCAACATCCAGCTTTCTTAACCCAACCAACTCAACCCTGGGAGAAACTTCCAAGGAGACCAGGTCTGTTCATGGTGTGTCCTGTCCACAGTTGTGGTCAATTTGTCCTCCATCCATTGAAATTGCTCTCCAAAAACTCACTGCAACCTTGGAGGATGTTTACTCCAGAGACACTCTCCTGCCAGTCAAAGGAAGGGCAGGAGTTTGGAGGAAGCTCCAGTGTGGTGCCTCTAGGAGGAATGATGGGCCTTGATGTGTGTACTCAGCACCTCTGAGTTCAAGTCCAGCCTCTGCCACTTACTACCAGGTGACTCAGGATCAATCTCCTGATTACTCTTGAACCTGTCCCGCCCTGTAAATTGGGGGTTTACCCACAGTCATTCAGCAAACACTGACTGAGCATCTACCATGAGCCAGGTGCAGTGCAGAGCTGTGATGAATGCTGCCCCTCCCTGCTGCACAGACTGGTGTGGGGATCATCGGACTGTTAGGAATCTAAAAGTCAATGGTGGTGATATTTACATGTTGTTTCTCCTCCAAGATCCCGATGGAGTGGGAGACACTTAT